CCCCAAAACCCCAAAACCCCAAAACCCCAAAACCCCTAGCAATGTTCACCTAATTGATCATCAAAATAATTTAACAATTAGGTCCCAAATCTTCTCTCATTAGTGTGTAATTGGCTCCGATTTTGTAAGGATTCATTAGATAATATTATTTGTTAGTCCCCTCTCCAATCCATCAAGCAGATTCGTGTAGAATTGTTTTGTAACCTTGTAACAGTTTACCAAGTTACTCTTATACTGGTAGAAGGGTTTCTTGTCCAATTCTTCCTCTCATAAAAATGGTTCAAAGTCTTGTTCTAGATATTCATGGAGTCTATCAGCATTTTTTTCAAGCATTTCTTGTGCATTTTCAAACAATGCCTTCTCCTTATCGTCATTTAAGTAGAAGCCATAAGCGTATGTCCACTTTAAAACCTTCCTTCATCTGATTACTTCGTCTAAACCTTCCTTAAGGAAGTGGAGCTCAGCAATAGGATATGATTTCTCTGTGTTTAACTTTTCAATAAGGATTTCAATCTTTGGCTTCATTTCATTTGCATGATCTCCTGCTTTGACATGGTTACTATATCTCTCAAAGAAGAACATATATTTCTTGAGTTCGTGCTTTGCTCTATCCCTTTCTTCCTCCAATTTGGTAAGGTCATTCTTGGAGCTTTTCATTTCCTCATATTTGTTGCATTTATAGTATCCTCCTGTGGCATTGCCATGCTCGGTCCAACTCCCCATACACATCCATCAAAACTCATGCTTGCACATATTACAGGTCATATGGTTACATCCTTGGTTCTTCTCAATTGGTCTTTGACACTTGGGACAGTTCTTTGTGTTTGCAATCATCCAAGTGATGTTTTCACTCTCACTTTTGTTCTTCATCATCCATTTCTTAGCTAGTTCTCATGAGCATGGCCTGTGCGAGTCTTCTCCGCATTTGAATCAGAAAAAGTGACCGCAGTTGCACTCAACTTCTGACACTACATATGAAACGTTCTCAACGCAGAAATTGCAGCCAGGTTTAGGACACCAATTAATATTCTTTGTCTCGTCTGTGTATGATTTACAGTGAAATTTTAGATATCTCTGCAAGTGTTTGCCAGTCAGTATTTGTTTCCATATGGAATGTGTTACAGTAAGTGGGCATCCATATTGAGGACATTTCGACATTACTCAATGATATCCTTCCAAAAGCTTGGTATCAAAGAAGTCTGTCCAACATTGCCTACAGAAAATATGCCCTCACTTGAGAGAATTAATCTTATCTTTCTTTAATGGAAGGAAGCAAATCTGGCATAAATCAGCATACTTTTTGTTTGGAGGGGGACACTTTGAATCATCAGGAACAAGCCCTCATTGATATTTGGTCTTATCTTCATCACTGAACCATTTTTCTTCAAGCTGCTCAACACTCCAGGAAAAGTGTTTTAGAGCAGTAATGGCATCATCTTCATCAACTCCAAGGATTTCCCTGACATTTTGAATAATTTTGCCTTGCTTTTCCATGATTTCTTCAGAAGTATAAATTCTGTAATCTTTAATTTTTGCGAGTGTGTTCTCAGAAGGAGTATTTTCTAAGGCTGGGTCTTCATACTCTTCGTCATCCCAGCCTTCACACTCTTCTTCTACACTATCTCCATGGCTCTCCATTGTTGTTCTATAATTATATCAATTATTTTAAGAAAGGAAGGGGTTTTGGGGTTTTGGGGTTTTGGGGTTTTGGGGTTTTGGGG